GCTCATATCTCTTCTTTGGAGCCATGGTTGTTCTCTGTAATTTTCCAATATTCACTGAATGTTCTGTGGTTGATCTTTTATTTACATTGTTGTAGTCATCCATATTATTTTCCTGGCTCTGTTTACTCTGTATCCGTTTATGTAGATTTTTTTTTTGACTAGACAGTGGGGTTAAGTGACTTGCCCGGGGTCACACAGCTAGTAAGTGTCAAGGGTCTGAGGCCAGATTTGAACTCAAGTCCTCCTGACTCCAGGGCCAGTGCTCTATCCACTGCACCATCTAGTTGCCCCCAGTTTATGTAGATTTTTTTTCATGCTTCTCTGGAATCCTCATCATCATTTCTTAATTTTTTTAATTTTAAAAATTATATGTGTATGTATATTCAATTAGCAAAAACTGCCTTCCCTCTTTTAACCCTACTCCTCTCCCAAGTGAGAATGAAATAAAAACAAACTTCCCACTACAAACATGGACACACAAGCAAAATCAGGGAGAAGAAAGGATGTCCACTATCACCACTATTACTCAATACTGTACTAGAAATGTTAGCTATAGCAGTAAGAGAAGAAAAGAATTAGAATACGCAATGAGGAAACAAACTATCATCTTTGCAGATGATATGATGGTATACTTAGAGAAGCCTAGAGAATAAACTAAAAAACTACTTGAAATAATTAACAATTTTAGCAGAGTTACAGGATATAAAATAAACCCACTAAATCGTTAGCATTTCTATTACCAACAAAGCCCAGCACGAGACATAGAGAAATTCCATTCAAAATAACTTTAGACAATATAAAATACTTGGGAGACTACCTGTAAAACAAACCTAGGAATTATATGAACACAATTACAAAACACTTTTCACACACATAAAGTCAGATCCAAACACACCAATTGCTCATAGGTAGGCCGAACCTATATAATAAAAACGACAATTCTACCTAAATTAATTTACTTATTCAGTGCCATACCAATCAAACTGCCAAAAAATTATTTTACAGAGCTAAAAAAATATAATAACAAAATTCATCTGGAAGAATAAAAGATCAAGAATATCAAGGGAATTAATGGAAAAAATGCAAAGGAAGGTGGCCTAGCCACACCAGATCTCAAATTAAATTATAAAGTGGTAATCATCAAAGCTAACTGGTACTGCCTAAGAAACAGAGTGGTGGATCAGTGGAATAGATTAGGTACACCAAATACAGTAGTAAATGACCATGGTAATCTAGTGTTTGATAACCCTAAAGACCCTAGCTTCTGCGATAAGAACTCGCTATTTGACAAAAACTGCTAGGAAGACTGGAAACTAATATGGCAGAAACTAAGTATAGACCAACATCTTGTACTGTGTGTGTGTGTGTGTATATACATACATATATATATACATATATATATATATATATATATAAAACTGTATAAGGTGAAAATAGGCACATGATTTAGACATACAGGGTGATATCATAAGCAAATTAGGAGAGCAAAGAATAGCTTACTGTCAGATCGATGAAGAAGGGAAGAATTTATGACCAAACAAGAGCATTATGAGATAAAATGGATAATTTTGATTATATTAAATTATAAAGTTTTTGCACAAACAAAACCAATGCAACCAAAATTATAAGGAAAGCAGAAAGCTGGGAAACAATTTTTACAGTAAATGTCTCTGATTAAGGCCTCATTTCTCAAATATGTAGAGACTGAGTCAAATTTATAAGAATACAAGTCATTCCACAAGTGTTAAATGGTAAAAGGATATGAACAGGCAGATTTCAGATGAAGAAATCAAAGCTATCTATAGTCACATGAAAAAATGCTCTAATTCACTATTGATTAGAGAAATGCAAATTAAAACAACTCTGAGGTACCACACCACACCTATCAGATTCTGTCACAGTTGACAGAGAGGGAAAATGATAAATTTTGGAGGTTATGTGGGAAAATTGGGACATTAATGCACTGTTGGTAGAGTTATGAACTGATCCAACCATTCTGGAGAGCAATTTGGAACTATGCCCAAAGGGCTATAAAACTGTGCATACCCTTTGAGCCAGCAATACCACGACTAGGTCTGTATGCCAAACAGATAAAAAATTTTTTAAAAAGGAATTGACTGAAGAACTTTATATCTCATAAAAGCATAATAAAGTACAGACACTTCTGTGTACTGACTTTTAAGACCTTAACAACTCACTGTCTTTATCACCTGACCATTACCTTCTACAGAAAAATAAAGGGTCTCCTGATCAACTCCCCACCTCACCCCCCACATTCCCGTAGACTAGCAACTGCCTTATCTTGCCATTTATCAGTTCACCACATCTTAGTCTTCGGCTTCTTACTCCTTGTCTCTACTCACAAAGTTACAGCCTTAGTCCAGACCCTCATTAGCTCTTGCCTAGATTATAGCAACAGCCTCCTGATGAGTCTCCCTGTTTCAAGTCTCAAAACTCCCACCTACCCTCCATGTGGTGGCTAAGCTAATTTTCCTAAAATACAGATCTGGCCCATTTTACTTCCCTACTCAGGCAAAGCCAATGGCTTCCTCTTGCCTCTAGGATCAAATGTAAACTCCTCTGCTTCGTCTTTCAAGTCTTACTCAACATGACCCCAACACATCTTTCCAGAATAACTGGACGACACTTCACCTGCAGTCCACACAAAGGCCTTCTCTCTGTTCCTGCTCCATCTCCTGCCCAGTTCTTACACTGATTATGCCACATTACTGGAATGCATTTGCTGCTTCCTTAGTCTCCCCACTCTCTCTTATTCCTTTCTCCCTTCTCCTCCTGTTCTCCTGTTGAATGAAATGTATGTCTCTGCCCAATTGTGACTGTTATTTTTCATTCCTTAGACCAGTTCAGATGACAGTGATGGATGCTTAAGTGTTGCCTGATCCCCCCAACTCTTCCTCCTTGTCTGTATCTTCTGCTACTTATGCTCCCAAATAATGTCAAATCCCTTTCTCTACTCTTCATCACCCTTTTCCCCCTGCTGTATTCCTCCTCCCTCCTTTTCCATTTTTCCTTGTAGATCACTAAAACATAACAGAGCCAGGCCCAAGTTCTCTGTCATCTCCATGCATTTGCCTGGTTGCCCAACACATGGCCTCCTTCCTTCCCTTTGCCTCTTGGAATCCCCCACTCCCCTCAAGACTCAGCTCAAGCATGCCCCTCTAGATCAGCACTTCTTAACCTTTATTTGTGTCAAAGAGTCCTTTGGCAGACAGTTGAAGCCTAAAGACCCCTTCTCAGAATAATGTTGTTAAATGCAAAAAGCAAAATACTTAAGATTACAAACAAATAAATTATAATAGTTATCAAAATATTAAAAAAAAAATTCAAGGGCCCCAGGTTAAGAATCTATGCTCTAAATAAAGCCTTTCCTGATTCCCTCATATGCTCGAGCCATTCCCACCAAACCAGCTTTGTATCTGTTTTTGAACATACCTATATGTATAAATGTTATATCCCTTGACAGAATGTAAGCTTTGAGGGCAGGGAATGTCTCACTTTTGTTTTTGAATTTCAAGTAGCTAGCTGAGTATCCAGCACAGAATAGGTGCTTGATAAATGCTTCACTGATTATCAATATCCCTATGGCCTAGTAGAGTATGTGGCATATAGCAGGCCCTTAAAAATGCCTTTGAATGAAACCTTTCCAAAGAGGCCCTATGGTCCTTTTAGCCCTCAGGCAGCCAGGTGATACAAGTGCTAGGCCTGAGTTCAAATCTAGCCTCAGACATTTACTATCTATGTGATTCTGGGCAAGTCATTTTACTCTGTTTGCCTCAGTTTGCTCATCTGCAAAATGCGGATAATAACAGCACCTACCTCACAGGGTTGTTGTGAGGTTCAAATAAAATAAATAATATTTGTCAGCACAGTGCCTAGCTGATTCCTTTCCCTTTCCCCTCCACCTTCCTTAAAGGAAGTTTGGCCCTTTATCACAGGCCAATCTGGACTAGTGGGGATGAAGAGTTATGCTACCAGGTGGTGGGAAGGCTTCAATACGGTCAACACTCAGGACTACCAAGAGATAGCTTGGATGGTCCCCTCCTTGAACTGAACTAAAGACACTTATGTCTAGTAAAGATGGATGGAGCCCAGGCAGCCAAGACTAATCTGTGAGACGGGAATCTGGTCACACAATGTGCCAGACTGGGAGTCAGAAAGACCTGAATTCAAATTCCCCCTTAGACACGTGTTAGCTAAGTGATTTACTAGCAAGTCATTCAACCACTGCCTGCCTCAGTTTCCTCACCTGTAATATGTGAATAATAATAGCATTTACCTCCCAGTGTTGTTATGATAATAAAATGAGATAATAGTTGCAAAGTGCTCAGCCAACCTAAAAGTACAATCTGAATGCTAGCTGTTATTACGATTAAGACTATCCTAGACAGCTGACAATCACACACAGGCTGTCCACCTTTCAGCACACTTAACTTGCACTGTCTCATTTGATCCTCACAACAACCCTGGGGAGGAAGCACTTAGAGCAACAGTTATTTTGCTAATGAGGAAACTGAGGCTTGGAGGAAGTAAAGCTACTTGCACGTGGTCACACAGCTGTTGATTACACAAAGCAAGACCTTCACCCAGGTCTCTCCTGACTACAAAGCCAGAACTCTTCCCACTAAGACGTCATTAGGAAGCATCACGTGTCACTGAAACAGCTGGCAGACAGCAGTGAGGTGTAACGCAAACAGCACCGGCTTCAAAGTCAGGAGGCCTTGCCTTGAAATGCAGCTCTGCTGTATAGCCTGGGCAAATTCTCCTCCTTGTGGCCTCAGGTTGTTTGGCCATAAAAGGAGAGGATTAAATCTGACTTCTAAGCTTCTTTCATCTGAGAGCACATTGACTGCAGTGGCAGCGTCAGACATAGACAGGAGACAGAGAGTCAGGAGGATGACAAGGCTATGCTCATATTCTCTATACAGCATGCTGAAGATAAAAAGGCAGGGACTGATGGAGCACATTCACTGGACTCTTACCTCTGTAAGTGCATGCAACTGCCCTTGGTGTACACACACCCCCATGAACCTACAAAAAAAGAGAGACTTTTTAAGAGCGAAAATGGCACTGAACAGAAATATCATCCAGCAGGGCGGATTGGTTGCCCATTCATTTTTAAAACAATCCAACTTTAGCATCAATATGATGTTACTTACAGTGCAATATGTTGCTTGCGCACGTCTTCCATTCCAAGGCATTCTTGAAATTCAATGCAACAAACCCACAGTTATCTACTCACTAAGTACAAGGCACTGCACCAAGCACCATGAGAAATATAAAGTTCATCAATCAGGCATTGACTGAGTGCTTACCAAGTGCCAGGCACTGTGCTGAGGATGCAAAGAAAGCCACAATCACAGTCATTGTCTTTAAAGAGCTCACGCTATAATGGGAGAGACCACAGGCCAACAGCCCTGAACAAGAAAAAGAGGACCAATGAAATGCAATACCAGAGAGAAGGCACTAGTAGTAACAGAGCCTGGGAAGGGCCTCCTGCAGAAAGGAGCATTAGAGCTGAGCCTAGAAGAAAGCCATGGAAGCTAGGAGGTAGGAGTAACAGGGGAGAGTGAGTGGGCCAGCAGAGCTGCATGGTAGGGAATGTGGAGAAGAATGAAGTATAAGAAGACAAGAAAAGGAGAAAGGGGCCAGACTGCGACAGGCTTCAAAAACCAAGCAAAGGACTTCATACTTGATCTTGGAGGTAACAGGAGCCTCACATGGATAGGCATATGCTTTAGAAAAACACTTTGGCAGCTGAGTAGAGAACGGACTGGACTGAGGAGAAGCAAGACCAAGGAGGAGACTAATGAAGTAGTTTGACTGACTCTCGATGTCTCATACAGTCATTAGCTTCCACTTGCCCAATTCCAATTTTTAACGAATTGTTTTCTTCAGTTAGCTTTTGTACCTCCTTTTCCATTTTACCAATTCTACTTTTTAAGTGATTGTTTTCTTCAGTGTACTTTTTTTCCATTTTGTCAATTGTAGTTTTAAAGGAACTGTTCAATTTTTCTTCTACCTCTCTTATTTGACTTTTAAAATTCTTCTTGACCTCTTCCAACAAGGCTTTTTGGGCTTCAGACCAGTTTATATTCCCATCTGAGGTTTCGGATGTGGGTATACTGACAATGTTATCCTCTTCTGAATTTGTATTTTGATCTTCCCTGTCCCCATAGTAAGACTGCATGGTCTTTGTTTTTCTTTGTTGATTTTTTCCTCATTGTGTTTGCCTTTTTCCTGGCTTTTAAGGCTGTTCTCTGCTTCTGGGGCACAGGGGACACTGTCCCATGCTTCTTATGCTGGAGGCTAGGGGCCTGGTTACTGGCTTTGCGTGCTGGAGCCTCAGGGACTGGCAAGTGGAGGCTGTAAGGGTCTGGTAGCTAACCTGGTGCTGAGCTGGAGGTGGTGGTGGTGACTGGTGTGTGCTGAAGCCAGGTGAGGTTTTTCTGTGTTTCCTTGGGGTTACACTGAAGCTTGCACTGAAGCGTGCAGGGTGGGGGGCGGTCTGGCCACTGGAGGTTGCTTCCTCTTTCCAGGGCTGTGCTGGAGCATGGGTAGGTTCAGCTGCTGGTGGGCGCCTGCTAGCACACATGGTGGTTCTCCTCACCGGAATCTGCTGGTTCCCCTGGCTGTGCCAGGGTATTGCCGGGGGGGGGGGGGGGGGGGGGGGGGAGGTGCGGGGTGGGGCACGGATCCTGGTGTTGGTGCTTGCCTGCTCTACCACCCTAGGGCTCAGGATTTCCCTCTGGTTTGCTGAAGTGGGGCTTGCCTCTGCCTTGCCAGGATGCCTCCCGTCCCGTACTGGTCCCCTTCAGCCACAGCAAGATGGGCCTTTCCCGTTAATCCCCCTAACCTCACAAGTGGAAAGACTGCTGCACCCCATCTTTTTGCTGGCTCCATTGTTCCAAGATTTTTCCTAGGGTGGTATTTTCTGGGTTTTTCAAGGTCAATAAGGGAGGGTGAGAGTGACTTACTGTTTACTCCACCATCTTGGCTTCTAAAAGTCCCATATCTGAGACTAATGAAGTAGTACAGGTAGGATGTGATGAAGTGAGGGTGGTAGCTCTGTGACTGGAGATAAAATGAAATCCACAAGAGAAGTTGTGAAGGTAGAAACAAGAATGGATCAGACATGTGTGGTGAACAAGAGGGGCTGAGGCAGAGACCCAGGTGACTAGGCTGGGGTGGATGGAAAGATCATGGTGTCCCTGACAAAAAAAGGGAAGTTAGGAAAATGGAGGTGGGTTTGGGAGCAAGAGATAATAAATCCCATTTTAGACATGTTAAGCTTGATACATCTACAGGACCTACACAAAAGATGACAAGAAGGTAGAGCTCAGGAGAGAAGCTAGGACTGGATATAGTGATATGGCAATCATCTGTACACAGAGAAGAGTTGAATACTTGGGAGCTGATAAGATCATCAAGTAAGAAGTGAGATAATCCAGAGGAAAAAGAGAATAGGTCCCAGGACAGAGCCTTGGGGGACACACCATTATTGGGCATAACTTACATAAAGAAGCAACAAAGAAGACTGAGAAGGAGGAATCAGATAGGTAGGAGAAGCAGAAGAGTACAAGGTTACTAAAACCTAGAGACAAAATATCCAGTTGAGGGGCAGCTGAGTGACGCGGTGGATAGAGCTCTGTCCTTGGAGTAAGGAGGACTTGAGTTCAAATCCTATCTCAGACACATGACACTTACTAGCTGTGTGACCCTAGGCAAGTCACTTGACCCCAATTGCCTCACCAAAAAAAAAAAAGAATCCAGTTGGAATAACTGACTCAACAGTATCAAAGGCCATAGGAGGTCAAGAAGGATAAGGATTGAAAAAGGCCATTCACTTTGGCAATTAAGAGATCATTTGGTAATTTTGGTGTGAATGAGAAGAGTTTGGTAACTTTTGGAGAATTTCAAGTAAACGATGAGGTTAAAAGTCAGACTGCACAGGACAAGAAGCAAGTGAGAGAAGTGGAGATGGCCAGTACAGATAGCTTTTTTTCCCAAGGAGTTCAGCCACAAAGGGGATGGATGACAGCTGAAGGGAATGGCTGGATCAACTAGAGGTTTTTTTAAAGATAGGGAGCAGGGATGATAGGAGCATGTTTGTAAGCAGAAGGGAGGAAGCCAGTAGATAAGAAGGGACTAAATATTAGAGAGAATGGGAGTAATACTGGGAGTAATCTGCTAGAAAAGACAGGAGGGGATGAGATCAAGGGTTCGTGTGAGATAGGGGTAAAGAAATAGTAGAAGATATCTTGAGTGATGTAAGATGAGGAGAGAAAGGAGAGCACTGAGCTAATGGACTCAATTTTTCAAGAAAGTATGAGGCAGGGGCAGCTAGGTAGCACAATAGATAGAGCACTGGCCCTGGAGTCAGGAGGACTTGAGTTCAGATCCAGACTCAGATACTTACTGGCTAGCTGTGTGACCCTGGGCAAGTCACTTAACCCCTATTGCCTTAAAAAAAAAAAAAAAGAAAGAAAGAAAGAAAAGAAAAAAATAAAGTATGAGGCAAAGTTCTTAGCTAATGGTTGGAAAGGGGGTACCTAGGCATGTGGGAAACTTGAGAAGAGATTTTAAAAACGTTTAAAATAGGTGCTTTGGGAAAAGGGAGAGTGAATACACTGAGGTGTAAAAGGTTTTGTTGAAGTGAAGACCCAGTTGATATTATGCACACAATTATGCAGAGAACCCTTCTCCCAGCTCTGTTCAGCAGCATGTGAGCAGCAGTGAAGGAGGCAGATGAGGAGAGTAATCCAAAGTTAGGGTTGCACAAGCTGGGAATCAGCAACAGAACAAAGGGGCAAGGAATTCAACAACTGAGGATTGGGTATAGCTGAACTGATTTACTAAGAGGTCAAGACAGGGAAGGAAAGAGTGTAGCTGGTCCTGAGGTGATGTCCTAGGGAAAAAACTGAGGGGTGGAGGGTTTGGAGATCAAGGCAAGGATGAAGAACAGAATTAGAGTTAGTCACCAAGACAACCATGCTAAGAAGCACATGGTCTAGTAGGGGGAAATGACACACTGACAGAATTGGAAAACAAAACAGAAGACGACTGAAGAGGCGACTGGGAGGATATGAAGGAAGCTAATGGGTGGGAGTAGGGAGCATAATCACGGTCTTTGAACATAGGAAAGGCTATCACACAGAAGGATTAGACCTAGTTTTCTTGGTCCCAGGAGACAGGAATAGGTGACTAGTCCAGGGAGTGTCTTTCACAGAAAAGAGTATGTGATCATATAGCAAAAGTAGCAGTGGGAGACAAAGAAAAGGAGGAGGAAGGAAGTGTATGTATTTGAAACTCAGCTGTCCATACTTAAAGCAAGTCCAAAGATGATGAGTCCTAATTTAGGAGAAGAAAAGGAAGGACACAAAAATACCAGGGATGGGGCCACAAAGAAACCTGAAAGAAACCCAGCAGTCCTGAAAGGGAGGGACAGGAATAGAAGCCAGAGGTGCAGGGAGAGCCTCATCAGCTCAAAGAAGTCTTTTAAATTCCCCATTATGTTAGAAAACACAGGTTGAAAAACTGATCCTGTTGCTTTTTATAAAAATGTAATTTTTAAAATTCAGAACTTAACAAAGCACCAAATTAAAGACGAGGAATCTCTACTATGCATACCTTGCTTTTCCTTTTAAATATATAACAAACTTAACATGTAATTTGCAAAGCTGTCCCACTTGTCTGTTTCACTTTACCCCTCCTGTTTAAAAAAAAAGTTCCAATAACTTTTTTTCTTTATTTTCCATTTTTTTTTCTTTTGGGGGACAACCCTGTTATGCCTTTTCTCCCCCCCACTTCCTAACTTCCAAGTGGAAAAAAAAAAAAAGGAAAGGAAAAGAAAAAGAAAGAGAAAACCCCTTGTAGCATATATGGATACTCAAGAAAAACAAATTCCTACATGAGCCATATCTAAAAACGTGTGTCTTACACTGCACATGGAGTCCATTATCTCTCTCATAAGAGGTAGATGGTAGGTTTCATCATGAGTACTCTGGAATTGTGGTTGGTAAATGCACTGA